CACCACACCGGCTACGACAGCCGCACAAACGACATCCCCCACTCCCTCGACAACTGCAACCAGCACTACACTGGCTATGACAACCGCAGAGACGACAGTCCCCACTCCCTCGACAACTGCAAACAGCACCAGAATGGCTACGACAGCCGCACAGACAACAGCCCCCACTCACTCCAGAACTGCAACCAGCACCACACCGGCTACGACAACCGCAAAAACGACATTTGCCGCCTCCGAGCCGCATCGACCTCCAGTTCCTGCCGCTGCCACCCCGTCTCCAAGAGGTTGAATCCTGTTCCCCGGAGCCCTGTCTCCACCTGATCCCCAGCCTCTAGAGTTCAGTTCCCCTCTTGATCCCCAGCCTCTAGAGTGCTGTCCCCCCGACCCCCAGTCTCTAGCGTGCCGTCCCCCCGACCCCCAGTCTCTAGGGTTCCGTCCTCCTGACCCCCAGTCTCTAGAGTTCCGTCCTCCCAACTCCCAGTCTCTAGAGTCCCATTGTCTGTTTCCCCAGTCCGGTTCCCCTGAGCTTTTGGATCCGGACGCCCCTGCTCCGGACCCCGTCCACCCACCCGGTTGTGGACTCTGACTCTCGGCCTCAGAGGAGCCTCCATCATCACCTGCCTCTGTTCAATAATCAAGCACTCCCTCCTCATCAGCACAACTCCCCTCACCTGCCTCTATCCAGCCACTATATAAACCCCTGCCCCTCAGTCACTCACTGCCAGATCATTGTCATGTCTACCCGCCCGTTTGGCTAGTCCTGTTCCCCCATTTGCTTGCCCCGCCTCGTCCTGCTGGATTTCCCCCTTCGTCTCTTGTCTCGTCTGTGGATTCCCTGTGTGTTTCTGTAAGTTTCCTGTTCTGATTTAAGTATTCATTAAATACCTGCTTCACTCTACTTCTGGTCTCGTCTGTGTTTGAGTCCTCCACCACACCCCGTGACAGTGGATCTATATGAATAACGTGTAATATGAAGTGAAAGTAAAGCCTTATGTTTCCTGCCAAGTCAAAACGTTTGCGTGGAACGCAGCGTTTAAGCCTCTTTCAGGCCCAATTTGGTGCGTTCACAGCGGTTAGAAACAAAGACCCCTGAACACCTCACACTGCTGGAACTGGATTTTCTGGATCACGTTTCTTTTTCTCACACCCACCTCTGCTTTGCTTTTCTCTCCTTCCTCTGTCTGAACGCAGAGAAGTGGACAGTTCACTTGTTTCTGACACATTGATGGCACGCAACTCAAACGCTTTACTGTTTATTGTTGGGGCACGAATTCCAAAAGGAAAGCCATCAGGGTTAATACTGCACCACGGCCCTGTTTCACAAAGCAGGTTCAGAGAAAACCCTGAGCTGAAGGAAAGTTTGGGGTTTCAGAAAGAGAGAGGACCTAAACTCTGACTCTGTGAACCTAACCTGCTTTAACTTTCCTTCTCTGTCTCGCAGCACATTAGTTAGCAGCGGTTTACTGTCAATGACAATTTGAATCCTTTGTATCAGGATAATCTAGAGTTACTTATTTGAACAGCTCTGACTGTGCACACAGTTGATGTTACTGATATTGAAGATTATATGTTAATAGAGCTATTTTAAAAATAGGCTGCGTATCGTGAACGTGTTTTAACAGCATTTCCGACTTTGTTAAACTTTACTACATTTGTTGAAGTAGCTGAAAGAAAAGCCACTACATTTACATCACCAACCACATTATTACTGGATCAGATTGTGAGCTTACGGTCAGATCTCTTATGTCTACTGATCTCTATTTTTTAAATCTTCAACTATATTTTTCATCTTCAGTTGGTGCCTGTACTTTGTTCCCGTTCGGTAAATAATGGATTAATCGACAACACAAAACAAACCCTCATTGTAACTTATTAATGTGCACAGTCTTCATATATCTTACATTAATATCTACATCCACTGGATTAAAACGAATCAGAGCTCCTTTGATGAACTCCATCTCAGGGTTAGTCCACTCAGAGCCTGTTCAACCTGTTTTCTGAAACAAACTGCAAACACACAATATTTAATGTTTATCTCACCATCTATGATCAGCATCATGCCAAAAGTTAAAAAAATAAATTGTTTCCAAGTTACTTTGCACTATTGACGCAGAGCTAGAAAAGCATTTTCATTTTGTGATTGTTCACAAAAGATTTCCTCATACCAGTTTCAGTCAGATAGGGAGAGAGAGAGACAGAGAGCGAGCGAGAGAAAGAGAGAAAGAGAGAGAGAGAGAGAGAGAGAGAGAGAGAGATTCCTTGGAAGCCTGTTGGTATTTACCTGCTGTCTTTGTGGGGAGAGACCAACACATTCACCATGTCGCTCTCTCTGTTGCTGCTGCTGGTCAGCGTCGCCCAGGCTTCTCATTTTTTTTGGGACAGTGATGAATTACTACCCAAAAAACCCCGACGCATCTGGATCCATCACGGTACGTGCACAGCTCCCCTCTTCAATATTTACCGCTTAGAATGTGACAAGACACTTTCCATGAGGTTTTTTCTGTGGAACCATCTGAACACAGTTATTCACAAAAAATGAAGCGAACCGATTCAATTTGAAACAATCCGGACATTTGATTCAAACAGTTCATAGAATATCTGCCCATCTCTAAAACATGTTTCAGGCTGTTCTTCAGGAAGAAAGTCAAACTTTCCTCTCAAAATAAAATTGAAGTAATAGTATGTACATTGTTTTAAATCTCTCAAAACAAAATATTAACATCAATGAGAACATTTGACCCAACTCTGGATGGAAATTGTTAACCGGCTACAATGACAGACTTTCAAATCTCTTCATCAAAACGTGGCTGATTCCAATGTCTGTTAACTGGAAGTGAAACGTTTCCAATATCTCTGTGGAAGACAGGTCGGGTTGGTCTAATCCAGCATTCGTAGCTTTACCTACGAAAAATAATGTGGATATCTCCATCTTTTCCCAAACCTAACTAAGTTCTTTCCTTTGAGGACGTACGTTTATTTTGAAAAGACTATTCATGTAACAAGTGGATATTGACACGCGTTTCTGGACTTTCGTAGGAAAACGCACAAAAAATTAGGAATTACTTTTTGTAACATTTGTACGAGCCTTTGTATGAGGATACATTGCACAGTTTTATAACACATTTAGTCCACACACCACTACTTTCCTTGGATACTTATATAAATATTACCTTTATAAAATCCCCCCAAAAGTGATTTCCAGATGTTTCAACATCTTAGATGAGTGCAGGTCAAGAAAGCAAAGATTGACCTTTAGAGGACCAGAAATTAACCGCGTACCAACCAACCTGGCCTCTGTCCCGTGTCTGTCTTCACAGTAAGATGTTGTCTTTGACTCGTCTGGGGCGACTGTGGCTAAGTGGAGAGCAGGGCCGTCCTTCAATCAGAGGATCGGCGGTTTGATCCCGGGCTCCGCTAGTTGACGTCAATGTGTCCTTGAGCAAGACACTTAACCCCAAAATTGCTCCCGTAGCTGTTCCTACGTGTATGTGATAGAATCTGAATTGTAAGTCGCTTTGGATAAAAGCATCTGCTGAATGACTGTAATGTAATGTCTCCACTGTGACACTACAGGTGGTCTTCCGCTATAAGCTGACCTTCCACAGTTGCACACAAATCGACTCGTGGACCTGCCTCGGGAACTGTGGGACCGAGATTTCTGTGGAGCTGAACATCGTGAACCAGGAGCTCAGCGGAGAGTGGTGTCAGAGAGAGGGAATCATGACTCGGCAGTTTGTCAGCAATGCTCCATTGCAGCTGCAGTGAGTGCACCATGATGATGCAAACAGAAAAAATCTGTCAATATTTTGAGGCCCTGGAAAGAAAAGAAGCTTTTGCTGAAACATATATTGGTGATGAAGGACCCAAACACTGACAAGACGCGCTGACCTGTGGAGCTCAATGATTTAATGCATGAAGGATGTAGGCAAGGAAGTAGCCAAACCACATACAATTACAGACAAACTGACAATCAACAGACAAAAGACAGGACTGGAAACACAGAAGAAAGGAATCAGACAACTAGACACAGGTGTGCAGACATTAAGGCAGGTTGGATGCTGATTGGTAGTTTGAGACAATGGCAACAAAAGGAGGCCAATTAAAAACAGGTGATACACAGAAAAAAAAGGAGGGAAAAATCCCACAAGACAGGAAGTCAAACCAACACAGGACACAAGACGTACAAACTAAAACAGGAAGTGCAAACTAAAGTCTGTGACACATGTTTCTATTCTAAGGCAGTATCAATCAGATTGGGTTGGTTTTAATTATCAGCGTTAAAGCCTGTAGGTTTATTTTGATTTGTTGTCCGCCTTTGAGCAGGAGCGAGCTAGAAACAGGAAACTTGGCCCCAAAAAACTGGAAAAGATGTGCAAGAGCTTTCCAGAAAATACGACTCCAATCGGGGACATGGTTCATTAAGGACCTCAGTAAAAAAACAATTCTGCATATATGTAATTTGCCATGTGTATCACACAGTATGATAGTTGTAGGGCCGCTCTGTCAGTCAATTAGGAGGAGACAGACACATTTCCTCATGTCTATTTTTATTTCTCAAAATATGCAAATTATCTGTTACTTTCCTAAAATAATGATAATCCGTTTTTTTTCTTTCAGGTGACAATGAAAATGTTTTGTAAAGTTTAACAAAGTTAACATTTTGCTGTGATGGTTGTTTCCTTGAGTGTTCATTTCCTCATATTTGTGGCATCCCAACGATACGATTGAAACATTTTTACCTGTCAGTGCTGCTGCTCTGGTATCATGTGAACTAATGAGTTATTAGCACACTTTATATTAGGAGGTAAAAATTAATATTTCATAACTTCCACTGAAGGTTGAGCGGTGGCGACTGGATGAGTAACAAACAACGTGTCACAAGTTGGAGAGCTGAGACTTTGGTGGAGCTGAGGAACCGGTCGGACACCGGCCGAGCCAACGGGTCCCCCCAGACCACCATCGTGCCAGTTCTGAGGTGATTATACACTTTTAAATTTGAATGTGTCACAACACATGTTGTAAGATGACCTCACGACACATTTTTAAAGAATAGAAGAAGAAGAAATATGTGAATTTGGTTTATTTTATTTGTTTCACTCAATTTAAACTTTTAAACTGAAAGATAAAAAAATACTTAAAAACAGCTTAAAGGATGAAATCTGCTGACTTGTGTTCAGGCTCAGATTCAAGGTTAAGTTCATAAAGACGTCTGCAGTAAAGTTCATGGTACAAATGTTGAGGAAGAAGTGAGTCAGGTTACATGAAGTATCTCATTCCAACAGAAAGACAGTCACTAGATTGTCTTCTGATATTGAAGAGATACCTTTGTCGAGACAAAAGTGAATCATCAGCAGCGATTGGCTTCCTGACTCAAGCTTTACATGGAAATGTTTCTCTCCATCAGAGTTCCTTCAAACTGTCGGAGAGATTTCCACCTGTTGGCGTTCGACCCCGACGGTGACGAGATCAAATGCAGATATGGAAACGCAACGTTAGCAGAGTGTGACGTCTGCACACCGCCCTCCGTTCTCAGCCTCTCCTCAGTGAGTGAACACAGACACTGATGCTTTATAATCGCACCATTATAGTCCAATCATAACCCAGAATCAGATCCTTTACTGCAGTAGAAGTACTTAATGACACTGTGATAATGCTACAGGTAAAAGATCATCATATGTTTGTAGCATCACTGTCCTGTGAGAACCACGTATCTCTAAAAAGAACAAACTGCTTTGTGACGATGCATTTTCCAGCTGATCTAAGAGGCTTTTTAAAGAGTTTATTCAGCTGAAGAATATCAGTTCTCGAGTAAATGTACATAGTTACATTCACCTCTGGTTCCGGCTCACTTTGACCAAAAAGACCAAACTAATAAAACAAGCAAAGACATTTTGTTCCAAATGAAATGTACATGTTGGGTATTTCATTAACTGACAGAAAATACCTTATTTTGACCTCATGTCCCTTTTTGTCCTCTTGCAGTCCTGCACTCTGTCTTTCAGCCCCACTACTAGCGGTGACGAAGGTTCGTACGCTGTCCAGCTGGTGATGGAGGACTTTACCAGGCAGACCATCACCTTGACTCAACACAACGGGTCTAATATGATCTTAAATGCAAACGTCGCTATCAGCAAACTGCCTGTCCAGTTTATTTTGAAAGGTAATATTTCTTGTTTTGGCAGCCAGGACTATATGGAACCTGGATAAATATACAATTAACATTGAAGATTTTCTTTCAATAATGTTGGTGATGGATTGGATGCTTCCTCTGCTAGCTAGCGCTCGATACTATTGTAAACATTCTTACACTGCCTGTTACAGTAAAGGCACCCACCTCAACATTCATTTGCAAAATAAACTTTTTCTAGAAAACCCCCTTTTTAAGTAAAAAATAAAAGCCAAAGTTTGCAAATGTTAAATGTTGTACAAACTGAATAAAACGGTCTGAATTTGACATTATTAAAATTCACTGTTCCTGTAAAGCCGGGTAGGTCTTTATTCACTGTAACAATCATTGAAAAGCAACAGCACCATGTATACATTCAGTACCTTCAGCATAGCATAGAAGTGCTAACGTTAGATATGCTAACATACTCTGCTAATGTTAGCTCCACAGATCTTTAGGTAGAAAGGTAACGTTTTAGAATCATATATATATATATATATATATATATATATATATCACTGTTTCACAACGTTTAACCATAACTAGCTACAAATCCACTAAACCAGCATGAAAAAGAAGAAAATCTGAAACAATTGCATGAGAGTCTATGGAAGGGTCGATTGCTAGTTTGGTGTCTCTGACATTAAGCTCAATGTAAGATTCCAGCAAGCACGTTTGTTCCAGTCGATATAGTAGATGTGAAGATTTTTCAGAGCAAGTGAAACTCTTGAGTCATTAAAGTCATTCGGGTTCATCCTCTGGGCAACATGATTGTCTGTAAAGCATTTTATGGCAATCAAACAGTTGCCGAGATATTCTAGTCCAAACCAAAGTGGTGGACCGACTGATGGATGGACGAACCGACTGGTATTTCCATCCTTAGAAAAAGTCTTGCTTGTCTCTGTTGTTCCAGTGGATCCTGTGGTGCCGTCCTGCACAGAGGGAGTCTATCTGCCCAAGTTCCTGCCTCCAACCCCAGCAAACAGAGCTCGGCTGTACACGCCTGTCAATCAGTCCCTGGATATCAGCATCATTGCTGAGGCAAATGTCTCCACGTAAGTCAAACAAAAAATTCAAAGAAGATTAATGATGCAAAATTCAGGTGTACAAGGAATTTGATCTGTTGTGTTCTGTCAACACTGATGCATTGGACAGGATTGATAAGAGTGTAAAAACCAACCAACTGTATCAAATATAACAATGCAGTTTGCACTTAAAGCCAAAAAAACCGTGAAAAACGTCCTAGACCTAGAACACTGTGTGCAAGCACCATGTTGTTTCAGTTGTAGTTTCACAAGCTCAGGGTTTTAAAAAGGTGATGACTGGAAAGATCCACCTAAATGCTACAACAAGTGTGACTGTTATAAACATCAGCCAGCAGTGAAAGAATTGCCATTGAGGAAACGTTTGAAAGAAAAAGGAGGAAGGTGCCAGGTGAGGATTCCCAGCATGCCGTCACGGAAGACAATTTGTTTTCATTTGTGGGTGTGACTTTTTTTCTTCTGTTTGTTCAAAGGATTTCCGAGCTGCTGTTCAGCGGGCCGCACAACGTCAACCAGACTAGAGTAGGAGTAGGAGAGTACATCCTCAGATGGACGCCGTCTGAAAACGAAGATGGACAAAGCCACCCCATCTGTTTCAGCCTCCAGGCAGTTTTCAAGTCAGTCACTTGTCCCATGAACATTTCCCTTTTACACTGACTCTGTTTACATGAACACTCATATACAACTATTACTCAGAATATGACAATTTTCCAAATCTGATGTAGTTCATGTAAACATCATATTCCGTTTGGATATTCTGAATTAGGTCTTATTCTGAATGGAGCGTTTTCCGACTAAGACGTGTGATATGTTGATATTATTCTGGTTTTAGGAGCATTGTTTGTACATGTGTACAGCTCATTCACAATACGAGTCACTTTACGACACACACTTTTGCATTGAACAGAAACCAACTAGCCAATAGTTTGCAGAGCTGGAGTAGAGATGCATGCCCAAAAGAAAAGGAGAAACCCACATACTTTTAAACATTATGAAGGACTGGACATACACAATCTTTTGGATACAAACACATAACAACGCCGACCTTTTCAACAAGGTGTTTGAAGGAATGAAAGACACTTATCTGACTGACGTTTGTTATAGTTAGCCTCCACCATGTGAAGGACAGCCACCGCAGACAATGTTTGTGATTCCATCAGATGCAACGCAGTGCGTGTCAGAAGCAGTTCTCTCTATTCCTT